ACCCATAACGGTTTTTACGGTATTATGCAAAGAACGATTGCTGCAGAGGATGAGAGCCAGAGGAATACCCGAGAAGCTAATACGATGGATTGAAGCATTCTGCTCCAATCGAACGGCCACGATTCTGGTGAACGGGCATCAGTCTGATACCCGCACACTTGACCAAGCAGGACTCCCACAAGGATCTCCACTGTCGGCGGGCAGTTACAACTTCTTCAACGCGGATCTGGTGCAGAGACGCATTGACGCCAATGGTGGAGCGATAGCCTTCATAGACGACTTTACGGCTTGGGTTACTGGCCCAACAGCACACAGCAATTGAGACAAGATTAGGGCTATCGTGGAGGAGGCCTTGGAATGGGAAAAACGAAGCGGGGCGACGTTCGAAGCAGAGAAGACGGCCATCATACACTTCACCCGCAACGCACGACTAGTAGATCCGACCCCAATCGTGATCAAGGGAAAAGAGGTTGTACCTAAGGACCATGTCAAGATACTAGGTGTGATCATGGATTCCCGCCTCAAATTCAAGCAGCACATTGCCCGAGCATCGACCAAGGGACTCGAGGCTGCGATGGAACTGAAACGTTTGAGAGGTTTGTCAGCTGCGACAGCGAGACAGTTGTTCATATCCACAGTGGTACCGCTAGTTGACTACGCCTCGAATGTCTGGATGCACGCGTACCAGGACAAACTAGTCGGACCTATCAACCGAGTGCAAAAGGCTGGTGCGCAAGCCATTGTCGGAACTTTTCTCACTGTCGCGACTGCAGTGGCAGAGGCGGAAGCCAATCTGGTGAGCGTTGGAGAGCGACACCGGAAGAGGATGATAAAAATGTGGCTTGTGATGCACACGTTGCCGGATACCAATCCGTTGCGTAGGATAACGTCACGGATGAAGAAATTCTACGCCAAACATCGATCGCCACTATACAAGGTCGCACGAAGGCTGGCAGCTGTGCCGACGGATCAGTTGGAGTCAATTTTGCCCTTCACGATAGAACCATGGAGAAAGAAGGTCACGACGATGACAGACAGCCAGGTCGATGAGGGCTCGTCAGCAAAGGGAGACATGGTGATAGCAACGAGCAGCTCCGCCCGCAACAGTGTTGTCGGTGTGGGAGGCGTTCTTCAATGTTCAAGCACAGTGGCACAA